GGCATAAGCTGAATTTGCTTTAGATATGCTTAATTCATATGATTGTAAATTCCATGTGGGTATTCTGTATTCAATCTAGTGTCTTGGACAACCCAATGCAGGTGATCTAAATCTAATGCAGTATGCTTACTTAGCATTAACTCTTTTGGCTGGTTCCAGTATTTAATACGAAACAACCATGGACTATCAAGGTTTGAAAATTTGTTAGTAAGTGGGTACCTTAGGTTTTGGCTTTGGGTTGATTTTAGTAGTTTTTGACGCATCCTTTCTCTGCTGGATTCGGGAACCCTGGTGGTTGCATGTGCTGGTACTTGGTTGCCAGCTGAATAGTTTCATCTGTGTAATACTCTGTTTCACAGGGATTTATGATGTTAAAGTTGTATGTAGTATCATCGGATGAATTTGTTGATTTCTTTTGACCAAGAAAACTCCCTGCACTACTGTGGTTTGATGATATCTTTGTTCTTCATTTTGTCACATTAGACGGGCTGGAGGTGATCGGATTTATGGTGTCTTTGACAACCAACTGCCTGCTGCGTTGAGGAAGCTTCCATTTGATCGACATCTTTCTCTGCAGAATGTAAGGAAAGTGGTTTCAGAGGCTGACGGCTACCAGCCACACTTGATTGCTCCGGAGCAAGGTTACCGCCGACTAATTGAGGGATCACTGAGTTATTTTAGAGGGCCGGCTGAAGCTTCCGTGGATGCTGTAAGTTATCCTTTTTTTCTTTACTCTAGTATTCCGGTTTTGCTAGAAGTGTTCTTAAAGTTCGTCTAGTTGTCCAGAACTTTTGATCACTCTTTAATTTCTTACTGACCAAAAACCCACACCATAGGTTCACTTTGTCTTGAAAGAACTTGTGAGGAAGTCGTTAGCAGAAACTCAGGTGAACGGAATTTTGCTGTTGGTTGTAAAGTTTAATTAGTGTTCTTTGAATGAGAAATGGGATTGATATTGATGTTTTTAACTCAGGAATTGAAGCGCTTTCCGACGCTGCAAGCTGAAATAGCTGCTGCATGTAATGAATCCTTGGAAAGGTTCCGTGATGAAAGTAAGAAGACAACTCTTCGATTAGTGGACATGGAATCTTCATATTTGACTGTGGATTTCTTTCGTAGACTTCCACAGGAAATGGAGAACACAGGAAACCCAGGAAACCCAGGAAAGCCTGGTACAACACCAGCGGGAAGGCCTGGGACAACACCTGCCCCTGCGCCCGCCGTGGACCGCTACTCAGAGGGCCACTTTCGGAGGATAGGATCGAACGTATCCTCATATGTGGGAATGGTGTCTGAGACACTGAGGAACACAATCCCCAAGGCCGTCGTTCATTGTCAAGTCAAAGAGGCTAAAACGTCGTTGCTGAATCACTTCTACATACAAATAGGGAAGAGAGAGGTACTCGCTCGCCTTACATGCAATGTTTTGATTGTTTGGACCCGAATAACAATTATCGCTTGTGTTTTATAATTGTTGTTGCTTGGGTTTGTGTTTCAGGCTAAGCAGCTTTCCCAGCTACTTGACGAAGATCCGGCATTGATGGAGAGGAGGCAACAGTGTGCTAAAAGGCTAGAACTGTACAAGTCGGCAAGGGATGAGATCGATTCTGTAGCATGGGTCCGCTGAGATGGATTAATGTTCAGAGACTTCATAGTTACTGCTGCTGCGGATATATGAACACGGCCACGACCACGACCACGACCGAATTTGTTGAAGTGTTATTGTATGTAGTTTTGTTGTTGAACCAAATTCTGATGGTTTGGGATTGGGGATGTTGAATTGTTGGTCAGATTAATTCTGGTATTTTGTTCGATTGCTGTTATTATAGTAATCTTCTGTACATATCTAAAACCTATGTATTCCACTCCTTATATAATATATCAGATTTATTATTATTATTATTTTGTTTGATTGCTGTTTTTTGTTTGAGAATATGCATATGCAAACATAAATTTATATATATATATATATATATATGTATATATATAAACTTGTTACGAAATTAGCAACGTAAATATTAAGCTATTAATTACATGTTTTAAACTCGTAAGTGCAGAAGATCATATACTTAGTGTAGAAAGCAAGTATAAGATTATTCTCATGAGGATTGCACTAATAGGTATCTAGGTTATGATTTCTAAGAACTTAAATTAATTTATTCACAAAACTAGCAAACATGCACATAAGGGTTTAACAAAATAGTTTGAGATGTCTTAAATTTAAAAGTATAAAAACACTATAAAGAACGTAGACAAATGAGAGGAATTGGCAATATAAGTGTCACATCCCGGCCCGGGGTGGATCACTTCCCGAGCCCGCTCCACCACCGTAGCACGATATTGTCCGCTTTGGGCTTACCATTTCCTCACGGTTTTGTTTTTGGGAACTCACGAGCAACTTCCCAGTGGGTCACCCATCATGGGATTGCTCTCGTGCACTACTCGCTTAACTTCGGAGTTCCTACAGAACCCGAAGCCAGTGAGCTTCCAAAAGGCCTTGTGCTAGGTAGGAATGGGAATATACATATAAGGATCACTCCCCTGGACGATGTGGGATGTCACAATCCACCCTCTTAGGGGCCCGACATCCTCATCGGCACACCACGACCAGGGTTAGGCTCTGATACCAAATTGTCACATCCCGGCCCGGGGCGGATCACTTCCTGGGCCCGCTCCACCACCGTAGCACGATATTGTCCGCTTTGGGCTTACCATTTCCTCACGGTTTTGTTTTTGGGAACTCACAAGCAACTTCGCAGTGGGCCACCCATCATGAGATTGCTCTAGCCCCTTCTCGCTTAACTTCGGAGTTCCTACGGAACCCGAAGCCAGTGAGTTCCCAAAAGGTCTCGTGCTAGGTAGGGATGAGAATATACATATAAGGATAACTCCCCTGAGCGATGTGGGATGTTACAATAAGGGTTTTGAAAACGATGTTTGAATGGTTAGGAGGACTTTGGTTTCCATCTCTAATCTTTTTCGCCTAAGCAATCGGTACACATGATGATTCAAGACAATGTAGATGCTTAATGTTTGTCAACCTAAAGGCATTGTATTTACTCTTTAAGCTATTGATTTCCCTAAACAACGAATTAGGCATGAGTGTTTACACTAACTTTTTTTCATTTTCGAAGTATTTAGCATGGTATCTACTAAGCTGCACTTTAAGAAAGCATAATACAATGGAAATCGACAAACACGCAAATCCTAGAACATTGTATCTATTCAGGTTATTCGTGATAATTAATTCCAAGAACCGTAGCTAGTTCTCTTGTTACTTGGCATATGTACAAGACTCGATCATCCAAATTTATTTGTGCAACGAACTCAATTACAAAGCTATTCTATGGTGATCAATCATCAAATAACTCAATAGATTGGAATTAAAATAGGAATTAACCATTAAAGTATCAACAAATTTTCTTGTAAAAAAAGTGTATAAAAAATACTCAAGGAAACATGATTAGGACTAGGGGTGGGCACTTAGAATTGAAAACTGAAACTGAAACACGAACCAAATCGAACTGCACCGAACGGTTTGGTTTTGCGGTTTTGAAACCGAACCGCAACATAGAAAACAGTTTGGTTTCGGTTTTGGCTTTTGAAAACCGCACCGAAACTGAACTGCACCGCAAATATTAATAAACATTTAATTAAATGTCCATATTAAATTTCATGTTTTAATTGGTTGTTTGTTAGAATCCATACACTTAGTATGGACTCAACCACACTAGAATATCATCATTCATCACTTTCTTTCATTCATTAACTTGAAGGACCTTTGTTATTTTATATCATCACACACACACGTATATGTACAAGGGTGGACTAATCTTGTTATCAAGAGTCGAACAATGATCTAATGAAGTCCACTCATTTGAAGTATGATATCACATATTCTAGTATGAAAGTTTCGCTCACGTTTAATGAATTCAAAGTTATTCAACTTGTTTTATGTTATACCTTGTATGAGACATCCTTTTGTTTCACAAACATGTTGTAACATCACAACTGCATGCAACATGCTAATTATTTACATAACAAATGTCTTTTTCCTATTGCTACTGGGAAATGCTTATTAATATGTTAAATTGGAAATTGTACAATTTTTTTTTAAAAACCAAACCGAAACCGTTTGAAACCACACTGAACCGAACCAAATGGTTTGGTTTCATTTTAGTTTTGGCTTCAAAACTGCACCGAACCAAACCGCACCGAACCAAACCGTGCCCACCCCTAATTAGGAGTTCAACCAAGTCCAACTGAAGTACTTAGTAACTCATAATGAAATTCGCTAGCAAAAACATTAACAAGAAATAAAAAGAGGAAGAAAGAACTCTCTGATGATGGGGATGGTGCGACTGCCACTTCTTTTATATATATATATATATATATAAAGTGAGAGGCTTTCCAAAATGCAAAAAATGCCCATTTGTTTCCTTCACAATAAAAACCCAAACTAAAATGGCAAAACCGTTCACAAGGGGAGAGGATGAACGTGGCGTCATTTTTTGAAACTGCTATGAGCAGTTACGTTTGGGTTATATCTTTCTCCATGACACAAAAATTGACTCATCTCAGTCTATCGGATATTCAGTTTTTTATTTTGTTTACCCCTTCTCTTTTGTGTTCTTGGCGTTTGATTTCATATTATTGGGAATGAATTGTTTTTGTTAATCCATTTTTTTGTCTACTTTTCCCCTCTATCTTGAGTTTTGATTTTGAAATATATACAAATTTTCTCGTTGTTTGATTGGTTTTGTTGCTTTCCTCCGCGTTTGAACTCATATTCGTTAATCTACCAATTTTATTTGGGTGCTAAACTGCCTCTGTTACTCAAGGTTATTGTACTTTTAGTTAGATTGTTCTGTAATTTTCATTGACGATGCTTTCAATTCTCCTCTCATCTTAATTAAGTTATATAGTTTGAATCTATGCATTTTAAATCTTCCCTTTTATCTGGACTATTTGAGAGCATTGGACTTTGATAACGGTCCAGATACAGCTAAGAACTCGTGACTCCAACAAAAATTTAGTGAGACAGCCCGGCAAGTTGGGCAAGTTTTGTTGTTAATTAACAAGCCTGTGGTTCAACTTATCACCCTCAAACTTTTATCTCCATAGTCCTAACTTGACGCTGAAATTAGTAGTCTTAAGCAATATCGCCTTCTGCAAAACTCATGAGCACGGATTGCTCCAAGTACCGCAATTGATTCAATTATTGACGCTTGGATGAGGTACATTCTAACCACGGAATGCAAGTGAGAATTTTCAGACTGAGATCCCATAATTGCTAATTTTTGTGACCTCCTTTGACAAAGCATTCCTTTCTTTCTTTGCCTCGGTAGCTAGTTTGGAAACCTGCAAGCGAGACAACCCGAGATTAGCATTCCTACGCAAAAGTGCACGTGAAATTCGCAACAAGGAATTTTTATACAAACCAGTGGATAAGCAGAAACATGAGACATGGATGGAGAAATTTCTTTTTTCGCTCTTGTCCACTGTCTTTATTTTCAGTGAACTGTTTATGTGAGTAACATGCTTTCCCAAGGCGATAAACCTCTTCAAAGGTCAGTTTTCTTTGGTGGATTTCGTATGTATGAGTTTTAAGTCTTTAAGATATATGTTTTCGACTCCAGGATAAGGAAGAAATAAGTAAGTGCAATACTATGATCAACTAACTCACTTGTGACCGAAACACAGCTGCTTCTCTTCTGGGAAGCTCTCCAAGGATATCTTTCAAACCTAATAGAATGAAAAAACAATGTCCAAGCAACAGAAGCAAAATGTCTCATTTGCCTCCCCTTTTAACTGCTTAATGTTATCAAACCCTAGAGTCAAGGTTTTGCATACCTGCTGCTTGTCTTTCAGCCTTATAAGCTGAGCGAATCACACTTTGGATTTGTTTCCCTGTTTGTCTGCAAATAGAAATTTGGACATAAAAAGTAAGTGCTACGGCAATGGAAGTGAATTATAAATTACTCCACTTTTATAAATGCAAACCTAAGTTTTGTCCTTCCCCTTGTCAATTCCTGTTCAGCATGTAATGCCCGCTTCTGAAAACGATAACCATACCCATGAGTTCAATTTCTAGATATGCTTCTTCAGATTAAACATGATGAGCACTAAAGCAGGCTAGAAACTCAGAGCAGGAAAAGGCAATTTTCGCTCTAATCTTTATTTAGTCTATTTAATTTTGGTTCTTTCATGATCATTGCAGGGTTTACTTCTTGTCCTTCACTAATTCACTTACATCAATATTCGAACAAATTAGTTTCTCACAATCAACTCTTCAGTTTTTGGGTTGAAGTAGCTCTTGCAATTCAAATGATACTAAACTGCTTGCCCAGGTTAAACCTAATGTCACTCCAAGAAATGATGACCACTCTGACTGCCAAAACTAACATTACAATAATTCTTTTCTCACAGCTAGCAGCCAAAGTCATCAATGAAGCAGTTGCCCACTGATGCATGCCTACAAGACATTAACTATATGGCAAATGCATATGATTAGCACCCTCGGAATACCCCACTAGAACAACTTCATAAATTTGTCACGTTACCATATCAAACCCTCCCTGCCCTTCCAGGTCCCAAGTTACAGACAAGAACCTTGGTGCAAACGATTAAACTGGGCATAATAGCATTCTATTATTCAAGCAATTAATCATCCTTTAATTCTTTTAAGAATTATTTTTTTCCCTTTATTAATGCACAAATATAATCCATTAACCAGAATGTACGTCTGCCTTTTGAAACTACTTTACCCTTCAACTTCAAGTTATATCATCATCACATGGTTAATTTCTTTCTCATGTTAATAGAAGAATGATTCCATCCTCCTCACTTTGCTAAAGCACAATTTTGATCAGGACATTCCACTATGCAAACACTTTGCTTACCCTTTCTTTCTTTCCCTTCATTAATGCAAAACCTAAATCTTTCACCCAGAATGCAAAACCTATTTTTGACTAAAGTGCTATATTTCGATCATTCAGTCAAATTTTCCACATGTCAATAGAAGACTGATACCATCCTTCTAAAGTTGTTACAATAAAGTTTTTCTTGCACATTAATCCAATAGGCTGCCCTTGGAAAAGGAAATCTTCCTCATTCATTGTCAGGTGGCATATGAATGATCAGATATCTACCTCAAACTTTAATAATGCTCATAGAAAAATCATTAACATTTCTTGTCACAATTTTTCAGGTGACAACCTTTGAAGTTTTAAGGTTTTCCAGTTTGTGCATGTACGGTTCTGTCGGAGTCAGTGGCTGACCTTGCGTATAGTTTAGCTAAGTACTACGGATATCCAGTTTAGTGAGTGTGGTGCTGTGGGAGCCAGTGGCAGACCTTTCGAAAAGTCCAGGTAACTAATCACGTAGACTGTTCAATAGGCACTTCTAGTTGCTATTTCTCAAACATCTGATATGGTAAATTCAAAGAGAAAATGAAAATTTCAAAATCATCTCAAGGTTCTTATGCCAGTGACAGCCCTACGTTTGCTAAATTTTGGAGCTAAAGAAAGGCAACACATCTTATTTTTGGGAAAAAAATATTCTTCCTGTTGATTATGCTACTCGGTATTCAATTCATACATCCTAAACAAGTATGGACGTCCAATATTCTTCATATATTTCCTTTGCGAGAGAGTTTCTCCGATATAATCTATATCAGTAAGAATTCCCTTGCACAAGGCACAAACGAGCAACAGATTTTGTAACAGTGAATGACTGCGTGTGTGTGTGTGTGTGTGTGTGTGTGTGAGAGAGAGAGAGAGAGAGAGAGAGTTCACCTCTAATTTTTCACTTTCAGCCTTTAGAAGATCAATTGAATGTCGCAACTCCTTTACTTTGGCATCAGCTCTAGAAAGTAAAGACTGCACAAAGAAACAAGTGCTGAAGCAATCCCCATGTATGATATTATGACTATGCATCATGTGCTTGCTACCATACAGTTTCATGAGTTTTAAGCCTTGTTTTCTCGCATCATGCCACAAAAATCTTTTGTTAACTTAGTTGAATTGTCGTTAATTTTTCCTATGAAATTATTTTCTCACATAAACTTCCCTTCTTAAATGCACATTATACTGCCAACTTTTGGGATTATTACCATGTCACCTTAATTGGTTCTTGAGGAAAAAGGTCTTCATGGTTCTGACTTTTCTTCCCCTCACCAATTGCTTGTTTTCTTTGATTCATTACAAATAAGAGTAATAATGAAACTACCTAAACATTGGACAAAAGAATGCTCAGACTGTTGGAAACAAGTTTCAGAAAAGGGCACTAACATTAGCTGGCTGGTCATTGATCTAAAAAATTGACGTATGAAACAAGTATTGTAAGAGTATGGAATAATGAATATCATATTAAACTCTAGTCATCTCTTCGTCATTGTCACATAGCTACACAATGCACTAAATATGAAGATTCACCCTCTTTCTGAAAGGTGTTGGTGATTCTAACAATGCAATTGAATGTGTCTTCAAAGTTTAAACAGTCCCTGCTTACCTCTTCGCTCACAAAAAGGCGCAAGGCTTTGTGGTACAAGAGGCGTCGTGGTCCTGCAGGTAGACACAAATAAATAAATAACTAAAAATTGGGTAATGACCAAGGATTGAAACTTCATATTAAGTAAAACTATTTACATCTTAAATTGTGAGTAGATCTACAAGGTAGGCCACATACAGTATTATCATGGAATCTAATATACTAAAATTGCCTGCTATACAACTTCAAGTGCTGCCGGCCATCTATAATTAGTAGCATCCATGAGATTTAACATCTCAAGTTTTCTTAGATTAGTTACCTACTAGAGTAAGTACTAAAGGATAACGTTATGTGGACTACGTAGCAATTAAAGTTTGAATGCACGCAACCATTCAAAAACGATAATGACAGAATCTGCCGATGAAATTAAACCATACTTTTCAGAAGCAGAAACCCCAATCCAGTTGCAACTCCTGCTGTAATCATGGGATTTGAAGCTGCAATATGAACACCCTCTGCACCAAAAAAGTGTAAATATAAACTTCTAAAATAATCAACAAACAAAAAGAAATGGGAAACTCTACTTTCGTCTTCTCAAAGAAAAAAATGATAAACCAACAGTTACCTTTAATCTTCCCAAATAAAAGTTCCTCATAAGCACCACAATTAGATTTGATATCTCCCAGAGAGTTCTGCATTCACACATTCAACTAAAATAAATAAAAATTCATCATCAACTAGAACTTTCTCCAAGTAACTAATGATTTGTGTGCGTTGACGGAAAATAATGCCCAATCGCAATACTTTCGGCATGGTGCAAATAAATTCTGAATTATCGGAATCAACACTATGCACAAAACAATACACAATTACAAACCACATTTCTTTTCACAATTTTTTCCTCATAAAATTATAAAATTAATAGTCTAAACTTTTGAAAGTTTCATTAACTATTAGATAATCCAAATTAGGTAATACTTTTGTTAGTTCCCTCTGCGCCAAGCAATCTCAATTACCAAAATTCATAAACTCAGCAAAAGTCGAGGGGAATTTGTCTCCTTACAATAGTTTGGCTGAAATGAGCGGCGGAGGTGGCTCGAATCTCAGAGAGACGTGACCTAGAAGCTGCAATGGCGGATTCGAAGGTTTCTTCTACGTTCTTCTGGTAAATCCGAGCCTGCTCGACGGCGTAGTCAACCCACGGTGTGGCGAGCTGGTCTAGGGTTTGGGGACTGTGGCTTATGGAATTGCTGTGTGATAGGGTTGGATTCTCTTCCGATGAGGTTTCCGGCACCGTCGCCATTGCTAATGCAGTCGAGCTTCTTCACTGTCTTAAATTAAATCTATCTCAAACACTGATTAGTACAACAAATTACTCCAAAATATTGACATATTTCAAACTAAATTACAGAACCAATATCTAAGGAAACCCATAGATCTACCAAACTCTGGATTCGAACAACAGATCTACAGAAAATTAAAACATGAATAACTTAAAGAGACAATCTGGGAATAGAGCTTCATGCTTAGCAAAATGGGAAAAAAGAAACATTCTGGACTGAAATTTTTTAAAAGAAAATTAATGAAAAGGAAGAAGCTTTAGCTCTTCCTCTCCAGTAACTCTTCAAAACCAGAGATTGCATTTGAAACCAGAGATTGCAAAGTAAGAGACTTTCGGCTAAAAACCGCAAACCCACACTGTACCCCAGCAAAGCAAGCAGAAACAGAACTCATTTGCAAAGCAGAAAAAAGGAATTGTACCCCAGCATTGTCTCACAAATAACCGGAAGGGCAGATAAATTGTCACATAGAATATATGAGGAACATGAATTTCAAAACCAAGCTTTAACACCCAAATAATCAGAAAATAATGAAATCCCAAACCCAATTATACCCAAATAATAATCAAATCCCAAACCCAATCGGAAAATAATCAAATCCCACATCAATCCCAAACCCAATTTAATACCCAAATAATCAGAAAAATAATCACGATAAACTCCAATTGAAATCAGATGAGCTCAATTCACGAAATTATCCAGATACAAAAACCCAATTCACGAAATTGTAGCAAGAGAAAAGGGACGAGGCATAATTACCGAAAATATAAATCGGGTTCAAATGGGATCGAGAGGAAGGAGCTTCTTGTACTGATGAGAAAGGGGCGGCGATAAGAGAGTCCCGCGCGGGGATTTTGTCCATCCTATACGCGACGTTAAACTAATATAAGATCGAAGTTTATTTTTTATTTTTTATTTTATCACAAATAGCTTCTAAAATAATTCTTAAAATTGATAACACATTAAAATGAGCATCGAAAATCTATGCGTCGGTTATAAATAGGTCAAAATTAGATAAGGAATCTTTATTAGTGACATGAGCGAAACAGATATAAAATATTATACTGTAACTATAGTATAAGAGGGTGAAAAATAAAAGAGGTAGGAATAGATAATAATGTTACTGATCTTTCCTTCTTATTCTGTATTTTGATAGTACACGGAGTGCTCTATTTATAAAACAACTCCAGCACACAACTTTTGAAAAACACGATAACCTTCATTTCCAAAGTCCACATTACTATGTGGGTATTGAAAAACCTACCAATGTTTTCAATATTACTGTGGGCATTCATTAACCCACCAATATTTTCAACACTCCTCCTTGGATGCCCACATATCAACATCAATTGTCTTGTTAAAATCTTGCTTAGAAAAACTCAGTGGGAAAAAACCATAACGAAGGAAAAAGAGTACAACTTTACTTGAATTGTTATGCTTATGTTGTCTCATTAAAATCTTGATAGGAAAAATTCAATGGGAAAAATCCTAATTGAAGGAAAAAGAGTACAACATGCATGTATCATGGATACTCCCCCTAATATATATCTCCCCCTGATTTCGCATTTTCCAAATTTAGCTGTTTGGTAAGTCGACGTAATCCGATACTTTGCAGTATTTTCTGAAATGTGCATTTTGGTAGGGATTTGGTAAACAAGTCTGCTAGATTTTCATTGGAACAGATTTATCTGACTTCAATAACTTTAGCCTTCTGAAGCTCATGTGCACTGAAAACTTTGGGGATATGTGTTTAGTCTTATCACCCTTGATGAATTCTTCCTTCATTTGGGCAACACAGACTGCATTATCTTTATGAATGACAGTTGGAGTGTCTGTCTTTGAAGTTAGACCACATGAATTCCGAATATGATGGATCATTGATCTTAACCAAGAATATTCACGACTTGCTTCATGTAAAGCAAGTATTTCTGAGTGATTTGAAGATGTAGCAACCAATGTTTGTTTTGTTGAGTGTCAAGAGATTGTTGTATCTCTGTTCTTGAACATATATCCAGTTCGTGAGCAGACTTTATGTAGATTAGAGAGAAAACCAGTATCTGCATATCCAACAAGGACCTGGTCATTTGTGGATTTATTTGAGTAAAAGAGACCCATATTTGTTGTCCCACGAAGGTATCGCAATACACCTTTGACTCCCTTCCAATGACGAATTGTTGGAGCAAAGTTATACCTTGCTAACAGGTTGACTGAAAAGGCTATATCTAGTCTATTACATTGTGCTAAATACAATAAAGCACCTATTACACTTAGATATGGTACTTCTAGACCAAGGATCATTTCATCATCTTCTTTTAGACGGAATGGATCTTTCTTAATGTCTAGAGAATGAACGAACGAACGACCATTGGTGTGCTAAGTGCCTTGTCTATGCTAAATCGCTTCAGGGTTTTTTCAATGTAAGCTGATTGGTGGACCAAAATTTCACTTGCACAATGGTCGATCTGCAGGCTGAGACAAAATTTTGTTTTTCCAAGGTCTTTCATTTCAAATTCGCTTTTTAGATATTCAACAGTTTTATTAAGCTCTTCAGGGGTTCCAACTAGGTTCATATCATCGACATACATTGCCACTATAGCAAATTCAGAGTTGGATTTCTTAATGAACATATAAGGGCAAATGACATTTTTGATATATCCTTCTTTAATCAAATAATCACTAAGACAATTATACCATATTCGTCCAGATTGTTTCACCCCATACAATGATTGCCTTAATTTTATTGAGAGCATACCTCGTGGTTTGTTAGTTATTTCAGACAACTTATGTCCTTCTAGAACTTTCATATAAATGTCTGCATCTAATTCTCCATATAGATACGCGGTGATGACATCCATAAGTCGCATGTTCAGTTTTTTTGAAATCACTAAACTTATTAAGTAACAGAACGTAATTACGTCCATTACAGGAGAGAATATCTCCTCATAATCAATTCCAGGTCTTTCCGAAAAATCTTGTTCAACGAGTCGTATTTTATAGCTTGCAATCTCGTTCACATTGCGTTTTCTTGTGAATACCCATTTGTAACTTACGGGGTTTACACCAGGTGGGATTTAGACTACTGGTCCAAAAACATTTCGTCTTTCCAAAGAATTTAATTCTGCCTGGATTGCATCTTTCCACTTAAACCAATCTTGTCTCTGTTTGCATTCATCAACAGAACGGGGTTCAAGATCATCACTTAATATGATTTCAATGGCTACCGTGAATGTGAATATGTCGTTGATGATTATTTCATTCTGATCTCACAATTCATTAGTACAAGCATAATTTATGGAGATTTTTTTGCTTTCATGTACCTCTATTTCTTCAGATGCATGTGTTTCATCAAGGGCATTTTCTTTTTCTAAAAGTACAGAATCATGAATTGTGGATGTGTCATTCATTTTTTTCTTTATGAATGATTTCTTTTGGATTCAGTTGTGCCCTCGACTTTCTCTTTGGAGAGGCTAAATCTTTTGAACTTTGAGGTCTACCACGCTTCAGAAATGCATCAGATAAATCATTCGCTGCCACTTATTTTATCCAACAGGGACATTAATTCTTGCAGGTGCATTTGCAGCTGGTATATGTGATTTAGTCACTTTCATAACATCATTAAATGTATCTGACATTTGATTGACAATACTTTGAAGATGAACGATCTTTTTCACTTCATTTTCACATTGAGTGTTACGTAGATCAAAATGAGATAAGGTGGGAACAATCCATGTCAGCTCTTTCTATTCTTTTGAAACGGTCTTTTCTCCCCCTAACGACGGGAAGATTGTCTCATCAAAGTGATAATCAACAAAGCGAGCTGTAAACATATCACCTGTTATGGGTTCCAAATATCTAATGATAGATGGTGAATCAAAACCCATGTAAATTCCTAGTTTGCACTGAGGTCCCATTTTAGTTCATTGTGGTGGTGGAATAGGTACATAAACAACACAACCAAAAACTCGTAAATGTGAAATATTTGGCTGATGCCCAAACACAAGTTTTACTGATAAGTATTGGTGGTTGACTATAGATTTTAATCGAACCAATGATGTAACATGTAAGATGGCATGTCCCCATGCAGAAACTAGCAATTTTGTTTTCATGAGCAGAGTGTGAGTTATTAACTGAAGTCGCTTGGTCAATACTTCTGCTAAACCATTTTAAGTATGGACATGAGGAACGGGGTGTTCAACATCAATGCCCAATGTCATGCAACAATCATCAAAAGTTTGAGACGTAAATTCACCAGCGTTATCAAGTCGGATTGACTTAATGGCGTAATCTGGGAATTGTGCTCGCAACTTAATTATCTGAGTAGGAAATCTCGTAAAAGCTACATTTCGAGTAGACAAGAGACAAACATGTGACCATCGCGTAAATGCATCAACCAAAATCATAAAATATCGAAATGGTCCACAAGATGGTTGAATAGGCCCACAAATATCCCCTTGAATTTTTTGCAAAAATGATGGGGATTCAGCATCAACTTTTAGTTGTGATGGTCTAATTACCAACTTCTCTTGAGAACAAGTCTTGCAAGGGTTATCATTTGAGATAGTAATGTGTCTGCTCAATAATGGATGTCCATTAAAGTTGGTGATGATTCTACGCATCATGGTAGATCCTGGGTGACCCAGACGATCATGCCAAAACATGTAAACTTTTGAATCAATGAACTTCTAGTTCATGATAGTATGTGATTCCACTGTCTTTATGTATGTATAATACAATGCACTCGTCAAACCACGCAACGTTCCAATATACGTTTCTGGGTATCATTGGAGGTAATGCATAAATACTCTACATTTTCTGCAATTTTCGTTTCAATGTGGTATCCATTTAAACGTATGTCTTTAAAACTTAACAAATTTCGAGTAGATCGAGTAGCGTACAACGCATTCTGTATGGATAATATTATTCCATTTGGTAACATAATCTGGGCTTTTCCTGAGCCTTCAATCACATATGATTGCCCTGATATTGTTGTTACCTTTTCTTTTGTAAGTATTAATCTTGAAAAATGCTTTCAATCTCGAAGTATTGTATGCGTGGTTACGTTGTCTGCAAGACAAATGTCTCCGTTATTTCTTATGTTTTGAGAATGATCATAGTTTTTTATCTATACTCTCTGAGTAAGGGAATTACAGTTAAAAGCAAATTATAACAGGAAATTTAAATGTCACTTTTATTGAATCTGAAATGTTAATTTTGAACTACAAGTTCAGTACATCAAATATAAACGATTTAGCCGGACCGGTATACTGCATTCCCCATTTCCACAATAAAGTTCGAGACATCTAGGTGAGTTATGTTCAACTACCTTGATAAGTCACACACTGGATCAGGTATATTCATTGGTTTAGCCTGGTTGAGAAAATTGGTCTTGACACCTTTCTTCTTCCACCAGATGTTTTGGGGTACGACAAGTATACGCCCAGTGTCCATTGCTACCACAACTATGGCATGCTCCTTCAGAGTTTTTGGGAGCATTATTCATATGAGTTTTGCCTTTGTGGTGATTTACATTTTTGAAGCTTGGGCCTGAATTATGCCTTGGAATCTGGTTGTGAAACTGGACATCATGATTCTTGCCTTTCCCGTTCCATCGTCCTCGCTTGTGGCTACGTCCTCGTTTATGATTATTACTACCAGAGGATATGACGTTCACTTCGAGAGAAGCAACATCACTTTTGGAAATGGTGCAGATCTAGTAGGTCGGACATGATGATTTTTCAGCAGAAGCTCATTGTTTTGTTCAGCAACCAGGAGCACAGAGATCAGCTGGTTATATTCAGTGAAACCTCGCGCTCTATACTGCTGTTGCATGAGTACGTTGGAGGCATGAAAGGTACTGAAAGTCTTTTCCAACATATCTTCCTCATTAATGGTTTCCCCATAGAGTTTC